GCTCAGTGGTAGAGCACATGCTTAGCATGCATGGGGTCCTGGGTTCAATCCCCAGGACCTCCCTAAGAAAAAAAAAAATCAAGACTTGGACAGAAAAGTTGAGCTCTTAGCTTAAAATCACAACTTATTTGTAGTCGGAAGTTTTCATTAGGTTTTGTCTAGAAAAAAATAAAAATTTTTATCAGAACTTTGGTTTGATATTGGCATGTTTTATATGGAACATGAAGCAGATAAATCATGACCGTGCCTTACCTCCTATTGTGTCACCATATTTGGGTGCAGTAATAAGATGGAAATGGGGGGGAGGAGGGGTGTCAGTTGCTTTTTGAAAATTCCGTCTATGTGATCGTTCCAGTTTTCAGATAGGATGGAATGGTTCCTTTTTATTACATTAACTTCTAAATATTCACACAACATATTTTTCTTCTCGCCAGAGGCCATGACAATGGGAAAACTGCATAAAGAAATTGGTCAGTTAATTGTCCAGTCAGCAGAAGATCCAGAGAAATCAGACAGCCAAGTTATACAGGTAACGCCTGACTGTGCCCACTGACCGAGTCCTGAAAACGCATCACTAGGCAGCAGCGTCATCTGCTGTTCACGTGAACAGAGTGAAGCGACTGGAGAGGCCGGTGGGCAGCTGCTCAGATGAGCAGAGGGTCTGCAGGATGGCCCTGGTGAAGATGAGCAGCCGCGGCCACTCCCTTACCGGACTCCACGGGCAGATGGATACAGGGGCTGGTGCTGAAGCCAGGCATTCACAGTGAAAAATGCACTGAGTCCTCAGCCACCCAAAGGGAATGTCAGTCAGTGAAGAGGAATAAAGCCCGTGTAGCAGGTGCTGGGTCACTCATCCCAGGCAGGAGAGGACTCAGGGAAGAGATTTGTTCTGAAAGCAACAGCAGGTTCCTCAAAAAGTTAAACGTAGAATTAACGTAGATCTGGTAATTCTACTTCTTGGTGTATGTATGTATATATGTATGTGTGTGTGTGTATGTGTGTGTATATCTATCTATCAGAAAGAGCTGGAAGCAGGAACTCAGCTAGGCATTTGTGCACTGCTGTCCAGAGCAGCATTATTCACAGTAGCCAAAAGGTGAAAACAACCCTGATGTCCAAATGGATAGAGAAAAAAGTGTAGTCCATACATATGGTGGAATGTTACTCAGCCTTAAAAAGAGTGAAGTTCTGACGTGTGCCATAACATGTGTGAACCTTGACAAGAACCTTGAAGCATAAATACTGTGATTCCACTTACATGAAGCACCTAGAATCAGCAAATTCATAGAGGCAGAAAGTACAATGGTGACTGCCAGGGCCTGGAGGAGACGGGAGTGGGGAGTTATTGTCTAATGGGTACAGAGTTTCAGTTTGGGATGATGGAAAGAAGAGTTCTGGAAATGGATAGTGGTGATGGTTGAACCACACTGTAAATGTACTTAAAATGCCCCTGAATTGTACGCTTTATGCCCACCCGCCCCCACCACCCCAAATTACTCATGACATTTATCTTTTGTTATTTTAAATTTTTTAAAAAGTTATTTATAAAATTAGTCTGATAAACCTAAAAAAACAGCAGGAAGAATTCTGGAGAACTATTCAAATTTTTTGATACTAACATATTATATATTTTCCTGTTCTTTTAAAGGATATTTCCCTAAAAACAAAAGAAATCTTCACCAACCTGGCTCCGTTTTCAGAAGTTTCGGGTGATGGAGAAAAGCGAGTGCTCAATTATGAGGCACTAAAGCAGAGACGACTTCCGCCAGCAACAGAAAACTTCCTCTACCATCTAGCAGCAGCGGAACAAATGCTGAAAATCTGACCACGGGGCAGAATGTGTCACTGATGACAGATCTAAAGCCCTGGCACCGTGACTATCCATCACCTATGTAAAATACTGGAAATAGCAAAGAAAACGTTCTATTTTTAATGATTTATTTGAAAGCATTGAAGTTTGACCTGAAAAAGCACTGAAACACATATGAAAACACTTCTGAATTCCTCCTATCTGATTAATTTCACGCCTCCTCTCAATGTTTACAAAGTGCTGTAACCACCATATGTAACATCATACAACTGCCCGATGTCCTGGAGTAAGAGCGAAACAGCTCTGTCGAGTTCTCATGCAAATGACAGCAACTCCGAAGGCCTTCGTTACTCTACGTTCCAGTTTGTCTCACTGTGTAGCCACCAACGAATAGTTTATTTTCAGAAAGCCGCCTGAAATTTTGCTTTGTATTCTTCTAGGAAGAACTTTAATTCCTCGTGAGGAACTCTACTTTCTGAGCCAAACTACTAAGTTTTCTGCAGAACCGTCTAGAAGATCATTCAAAAGACCCTGCAGTTGCACTTTCCTATAAAAGAAAATTCTTTTCTTAGCCTTTGAACATGTTGCCTATATTATAAGGGTTTTGCATAGATTTTATACCTGGGTAGACAACTTTAATAATCCATATTTATACTGTCGCAGAGGTAAGCAGTTGGCAACTTCGGCCATTAGTTCTCTTTAATTAACCCTGTTGCTAGCTATATTGTTTTGAAAAAGATGCCAGCCGTTATGTGATAGAATAAAATAAGAAGCCCATTTTGAACGTAAATGTCTGCAGTGAAGCAGCAACTTTATATAATTGGTGAGGGAGTGTGAGAATTCACTTCTTGTGAGGGCCAAAACCAGAGAATGTTTTCAAACAACTTTAGTAAAAATAATTTGGCCACATATAAAGGCAATTGTTCTTGTTCAGTTAGGTACCTTTTTCATAATTAGAGACCTAAAAATTGCAAAATAAGCATGGGGGTCTAAATTGTTTTTGTTATTATATACGTTCATATTAATTATGAAAGGTGATTTTTCACTCTTTTTTACTCAGTACTGCTGTCCTTAGAAATCTTACCCAGAAAAAATGTCTGCAAAAATACTTGCCTTTCTTGGATCTTTCATTTATTCTTGGTGTCAGACATTTGTTAAGGAAAAAATTTTTAACATACTCCCCTTGGGTGGGGGCAGGGGAAGATTTGAAATGAGATGATGTTTACTGAGACAAACAATTGAAAATTAAATCTGCACTTTATGAAAATTAATACTAACATCTTTTTCTCCCTCATTTTTTTGTATTACTTTATTAGCTAATGATCAAAGTTGTTAAAATTAGAAATTTATGATACAAAAATAAAATGGAAATATTTTGATACTCAACAGAGTTTTAGGCAGATGAAGAATTATGCCCTCTTTCTCTAATTCTCCCCACTCCAAACGAAAAAAGAAAAAAACCCTTTTTGTCAACTGCAGAACCACTGGGGAGTTACCCCAAGACCTATTTGAAGGTTAAGCATTCCAGCGCCTTCCATTGGCTCGGCGTCTCTTCCATCCCGACTTCTGGAGCTGACTTTAATGGTGAAGCGTCTTCTTTGAAAAGATGCTCTTAGATTACTCCTCTGTCATCTGTTAGTGGCTAAACCTCCACCTGGAGCCTTTGCACATTTTGTTCTTTTTGTTTAGTATAAGCCTGTGGCTACATGGAGCCGACTGGTAGCTCATTTTCACAGATTTTTATCCTTTTAGGCTGCTGTGAAACATCTACCAAATTTGGAGATAACTGTCATTGTGGCCTAGGGAAAACTGAAAGACACAGGTTATTTCTCAGATGACCTGGGGCAGGATGTGATGGAGACCGTCCTCCGGTGCGCAAATGTTTGGGTACCTACTCTATGCCGTGCACTATGTCTTCTGGGGCTTCCTTGAT